GTGGCTCGGGGCGATAGACCACTATATAATTCATCAACTGTGTCGTAAGGAGGTAGAGAGGTGGGTGTAGTATCCCCTATTTGTGAAACTACTACATGTTGGGAGGTAGCAGAGTGGCTAGGTTGGGCTTGTGCATGCGCAGTTGGGCTTGATGCTGCGTCTTCTACTCGGAAAGTGAAAATATCAGTTTCTGCTCCTACGGGGTTAGCCTGGTTTATTTCTTCTAGGTCAGAACAGCTATCAAACAAGGCCATTTCTTCAGCAATGTTGCTGGCCATTTGCACTCTTTGCATAGGAATGGATGATGAGGAAGGGTTATCGTGACGTACCTTAGAGCGAGTCTCACTTATAATTGCTCCTTGAGTGTTCTTTATCTGGTGAGACTCCTCTTTGTTTGTAGCCCTAGAAAGCCTGAAAATGAGTCGTCCTTTCTGTGCGGGGGCTTTCTTGGCTTTGCGTGCCTTGTCGTTCGCATCATCGTCATCCTCATCACCTTCATTGTTGTCGCTCTCCTCAGCCTTGCTCCCAGAGTCCTCATCATCAACGTCTATTGTTCTGGCTACGCTTGATGAATCATGGGTACTCTCTTCAGCACGGATGTGGCCCTCAGTAGCCAAAGTCTGATCATCATGGGGCCAACTTGCCACTGATCTTTTTGGCTGGGTTGAACTCTCAGGACCCTCACTCACTCTCGGCTGACTCCCTGGGGTAGGCTCAGGGGGGATTATCTGAGCCATAGGGAGTATAAAGTCGTTCTCTTCACAATAGCGTCGAACAGATGGATCATTCGGATCGGCTAGCTGTAGAATAGTCACTGGTATTGTTATGGGAACCAGTGTGCGATCTTCTGGCATTTTCTTGAGGCGTTGGACGGACGGAATGTAGACGTTCTCCTTTGAAAGTCTCCGATGGATTGTCAGTGTGGTCCGGGAGAGATATCGTATGATCAGGGAGAACCATGTCATGTAGGGTAGATGTTCGATCTGGTCCGTCTTCGTCCTCTTCCTGACTAGCTCAAAAATTTCGTCCCATATAAGCGAGACGTAGTCATAGTTCTTTATGAAGGCGATACCGTGGAAGATGGTCAGAAGGTAGATGCTGCATTTGTCGAAGCCAGTGTGTTTGGTTGTACAACACCTGTTGAGAATTGAGAGCATGGTCTTCCACGATCTTGGTAAGCGTCCCGGTTTGATATCAGAAATGAGCTTTATTGGTTGAGCGTGGCCTAGCTTGATCATATCAGCCATCATTTCATGTTCATTTGTCAACTCATCATAATATTCTTCTTCTAGAATTTGCAGAGCTTGGTGCAGCAGATCTTTGGTCACGGTGATCTCAGTGTTCATGATAGTGACGGTCATCACGTAATCCCTGTCGTTGTTGTTGTTCATGACCTTGTTAAGTGTTCCCCAGATGTGTTCGAGATACACTTCAGGAACTTTTGCTGAGTCGCTTAAGGCCTTCCACAGTTTGTGGCCTTTCAGAATGGCGACAACAACCTCATCTTGACACGAGAACACCTCCGGGTCCAGCTTTGGATTGTTCTCTTTGATCGATTACCAGCTTGCTCATGGGTAGATCTGACTGATTTTGGGAACAGCTGCCATTTCGATCTGAAAATGATAAACAGATTAGAGCATTTGATCAAAACGGTTTCTAAGTCCACAACTTAAGCTCTTATTTGGACCCTTTTTCTTCTATTGATGATCGGGGTTTGATAATTTGGGCCCCTTTTTTATTTTGATTTGGTTTTTTTTATTAAAGGAAAATTTTGGACCCTTTTGTCATCATTTTTTTAAAAGTATGGGCCCATTATTGCTGTGAATTGGGCCAGACTCAGTTAGTATGCGGCCCAAATTGTTCACACATGCCCCAAATTGCACATGGGGCAATCGTGCAGGGTATTTTGAGCACGGGTAATCGTGCACGACCTTTCGCGCATCTAGAATCGCGCAGGGCCTTTCGTGCATCAGGATTCGCGCGGGGCCTTTCGCGCATGGGCAATGTTGCAGCCTGAAATCGCGCACAGACTGATATCTCGCAGCAGGCCAAACCGCGCACAGGGCTAAAATGCACCTAGCCTAGGATCGCGCACCAGGCAAAAACGAGCAAATTCTAAATCGCTCATCAGTCTGTTTTGCACATCTGTTTTGGCGCAAAATCTGTTCATCTTCTTCATCGCACCTGTTCGTCGGGAGACCTGTGAAGCATTTATATTGAGAAAAGTATGGAAATTATACCGTTTGATGGAGATGAGCGAAAAACTTGAGGTCAAAAGGGGGATGATCGATTTTGAGAGAGAAGTTCGAAGGTGGGGCGCAGAGGAGAGTGGGGGAGGAGATGCGTGATTTAGGAGTTTAAATAAGGCCGGGAAACGTTTAAACTTCAACGGGCCCAATTTGATGTGATTTTGCGTTTTGGAATTGCTCCCCCTCAACACTTGCTCCTTTTTTACATTGAATAATTTTTTAGAACTCCCCCTCTGTAACACCGTCCCCAAATGTATTTATCTTTAAGCGAATAATTCATTGAACCCTATGAAATTTTTAGTGAACTTACGAGGTTGTGAATTTGTATTAATTTTTCGCGTGAATAGTAAAATGCACGTGGGGCCCACATCGGGAGTGGGGACCGCCCGATATTATCGGGACCACATATCATATTCATCTGGGTCTAGAAAATATTTATAGATGGTGGATACTTCATTTGGGCCATGGAAAGGCCCAGAGTTGACCGATCGGTCAATAGAGGCCCAAATACCGGTATCGATAAATTTATCATATAAAAGCCCGAAAGTGGATTTTGGAGATTTATAAATTAAAGTTGGGGAATGCATATTCATTCTAAATGTTATAATGATTAAGAACACATAATATATTTATTTAACCCGATAAAATAAAATATATCTAAAACAGTCCGGAAAATACAACTTTCGGGGCAAATTGTACACTTTGGGACAAATTAGGATGACCTCCCACATGGGTGGGGGCCACCCCACGAATTTGTCAACCTTTGGAGGCTGGATGAGGGCTAAGTTGGCTGAATAACAATTGATAGGATGGGGGAGACACCCTTTGACATTTGGTAGACCCCCTCCTTTCACTCATTTGTCTAAATGAGACAAAAACCACCCCTTTCACCTCACCACCTCCACCCACTCGTACCAACACCCTAAGATAGCAAGGAGGAGCTCTGAAATTCACCATTTTCACACTCAAATTCGAGCTCAAGATAGAGGATCCAAGGAGGAGTGCTTGGAGAAGGAAAAAGGTGTAGGAAAGCGTGGAAATTGAGGTAATCACCTTGCCATAGCTTTCCCTTTATTCTTCTTCTACCATGAGGCATATTTATTATATGAAGAACCCTTGGGATGGTTCTCCATGTTCTAAGTATGGATTTATGGGTTGGAAAGTGGTTCTATGTCCAAGAACGGACTTAGAAGCCAAATCGACCGGTTTGCCGGAAAATAACCTTTTATAGGTTATTTGTGTTGATATGGGTTTTGTGAGGATAAAACCTTGTTAGGAACTTGATTTAAAGTATTTTTGAGCTTCGCCGGAGTTTCGTCGGAGTTGGTCAAAGTTCGCCGGAGTTGGTCAAAGTTCGCCGGAGTTGGTCAAAGTTCGTCGAAATTAGTCAAAGTTCAATCGAGAAGCGTACAACGCGCTTAAGCTTAATTAAGGTGAGGATGACCGAATATGTTGCTTATATTCTTTGGGTTAATCTCATGGGATTTCCTAAGTGAATACAAATGTGATGTGCATGGGTTGTTAATGGTTAATAATGCCTAAATAAAACTACTATTGATTATAAGTATAGTATGCATGATACACAAATTTATGAATAAATTGTGTATGTTTAGATGTTATGAATATGTGTGTATGACGGTTGTACCAACCATGAATTTCATTTGAGATAGTATACTTTGATACCATGAGGAGAAGCCATGAAGGTATGAAAGTGATACTTGATATTAAGGCCAATCATGCATGAAGGAAGAATTATATTGAAATAAATAAATAACTAGCATTGAAATATTAGTTGGAAATGTTAGTTGAGAAATGGATGAATTAGATCCTAAGAATGTAAATTATAAAGAATCGGTGATTATGAGCCGGGCTCGGGACCGATGTAGATAACGGTGATTATGAGCTGGGCTCTAGACCGTAGTAGATGACGGTGATTATGAGCTGGACTCTAGACCGTGGTAGATGACGGTGATTATGAGCGGGGCTCTAGACCGTAGTAGATAACGGTGATTATGAGCTGGGCTCTAGACCGTAGTAAAAAATGATGAATTGATACTAAATGAACGGATTAACTATAATGTAATAATGCTCTAGATTGAGGGCCTCAGAGATTTAAACTTAGATTATACTTAGTATAGTTGTCATTGTACTTGTCAAATGCTTCCAAGTACTGACCTCCCCTTCACGGGGGAGGCCACCTCACAGTTTCAGGTAGAACTTGAAGATTGCTACCATCAGCCGCTGTTTCGGGAAGTTTCTGAGAAGAACACTTGGTTCGTGCTTCTTCCGTTCTTGTTTTGAAAACAATATGAATAATGCTCATGGATATTATTTTCTGAATATACATTTCGGGGGTTTGTATACCCATGTTTGCCAAGTGTGGCTTGTACACTTGTAATGTTGTTTCCTCTGTTTTAAATGAATGATTTACATTATGTTTGTTTATGGATGTACTATGTGTGAATGATATTCATGACGCCTTGTATGGTATGGATGAGTTGGACTGCGGTTGACTATTTGTACTGTGCGGCGTGTTGTTGACGTGTCCGGCTAGGTCCAGGGCGTGACAATTTAATTGGTATCAGAGACAGGTTAGTCCGTAAACATCATAATGAAGCTTCAAAATTTCTTTTTGAAAATGAATTTGAAAACCATGAGCATAAGGTTTTGTACTTATAGGACTTTTGGTACTTGAGTTGCAATGCCTCTAATTGTTAAGATGGTACCCTTAACAATTGGTATGGCGGTGATTTGAGCCAAATGATGTCTTTAAGTACCTATCCGTCAATTGACATTCGATGCGAGTCTAATGACTCATTCTAATTTCTTTCAGAAAAGGAACCCGTTGGAAGGATCACTAGAAGGAACCCGTTGGGCCGTGCACCGGGTGGGTCCGAGCGCGGTAGCCGGGGGTCCTCTAGGGGATCAAGAGGAAGGGGCCGTGGAGGCCAACGTCAAACCGTGAGCGATGGCCACGTCGATACCGAAAGTGAGACCTATTGGTCCTATGAGGACTCAACGTACCAGCCGGGGACTGAGCCAGTTGAGACCCCTTACGAAGGGAATGATGATGATGTGAGTGATGAGGAGGAAAGTGGCTCCTTGGCCAGGATCGAAGCGTTGTTCCAACAGTATCATCGGGAGCGCGAAGAAAGGAGGGCACGCCAAAGGCACCGTGCAGGGCAACCTGCGGGCGGGGCTTCAAGAGGGAGGAGCTATTACGATTCGAGAACCCATATGGAAGCGCATGGAAGTCGGGGCGATGGAGGTCCAGCCATAAGGATCTCCAAATACATCAAAGAGGCGAGGGACTTAGGGTGCAAACCGTTCGATGGGACGGGAGACATCTCGGTTGCCGCACAGTGGATCAAGAGGCTGAACGAGGCAGCCCTTGACATGCAGCTCACCCCCGATTTTAAACTGAGAATCGCGGTAAGGTTACTCGAAGGGTTGGCATCCAAATGGTGGGATGGAACCAAGGGTAAGTATGGCGGAACTGTTACATGGGAGGATTTTCGACAAGAATTCTTTGCCCAGTACTACTCCGACTTCGAAGTAAACGCCAAGGTGAGGGAATACACTCTCCTAACCCAAGGTGGTAACATGACGGTGAAAGAACTTGAGAACAAGTTCAGAGACCTTGCTGATCACATACCGGAGTATGCTTGTGATGAAAACCGAATGGTGAATCATTTTTGGGAGGCCTTGGACTTGGAGATACGTGACAGGGCAACTCAATTGCCCAATATGACTTTCAACCAAGTGGTCGCCCAAGGGTTGAAGGGAGAAAAGCAATGGGAGGAGAGAAAGAAGAGAGATGCCGAAGAGGCTAAGAAAAGAAAGTGGGAAAGCCATGGCCCCCAAGGTCCCAACAAGAAGGGGAACCATGGGGGAGGTAGATCGTTCAGGGCACCGGCAGCACCATCCAAGGGAAACCCGGCCACGAGCGGGCACTACTCGGGCTCACAAGCCCCAACGACGCCCAGGTGCAGGAATTGCAACGGGAACCACATCGGTAAGTGTCGTGATCCACCACGGTGCTACCAATGCGGGAGTACAGGGCATATTAAGCCAAACTGCCCTCAACTTGGTGGGAACCGGGGGTCAGGACCAAGCGGCGCTACCACGGCAAGTAGGAACCGGGCCGGAGCATCTCATGCCAGTGTGGGCCAGGGGGAGCGAGCACGAGCAATGCACCATCCGTGAACCAAGGAAGAACTGAGGCTAGAGTTTATGCGATGACGGAGGCGGACGCACGTGCTAACCCGGACTCCGTGGCGGGTAAGATCTTAAACTCATGATATTACTCCATTGTATGCAATAGGAGTGGTTGTAGGGTGCAAAATTTGTAACCCCGACGGTTTGGTCGGGATTGTTGGGAAAAGGGGAGGAAAAATCCCCGCCCTGGGCGAATGCCGCCCGGCATTTGACGAAAGCCGCCCGGCTTTCGTCTTGAATTATTGGGAAAATGCTGCGGCGACGAATGCCGGCCGGTTTCCACCAAAAGCTGCCCGGTTTTCGTCATTTTTTAATCAGGAAAATCCTCGCAACCAAAAACTGGCCGACTTTTGTAAAGACCGGCCGGCTTTCATAAATGCCTGACCTGGAAACTTTCTCGCAGCTGAAAGCCGCCCGGCTTTGGCGAAAGTCGCCCGGCTTTCGTCGGGCCTAGGGATTCCTGCGCTGCTGAAACCCGGCCGGGTTTCGTATAGACCGGCCGGCTTCGAAACCATTCCCTGAATAAAAACTGCGGCGACGAAAACCGCCCGGCTTTCGTGATTAAATACTTAGAATTATTCTCGCAGTCGAAAACCGGCCGGCTTTCGTGAAAAGCGGCCGGCTTTCACCAGGGTCGGTCCCAGAACGGTTCTAAGGGTTAGAAACCGGGAATTTTCGGACGGGTGTCAAACGGACCCCACCCGAACCACGACCAACATACTCTACGACTTAAGAAACAAGCCTATTAATTAGATAGTGTGATATACATTACTTATGAATGTAGGAACACTAAAGATAAACGGGAGAGACGCAAGGATCCTTGTTGATACCGGGGCGCAACGATCATTTGTGAGTGAGGCGTTCGCCAGCGGATTCAACGGACCACTTGTACCAATGACTCAAATCCTATTGGTATCCACGCCTCTAGGGGATGATATCGAGAGAGATAGCCACTATCCATCGTGTGAGGTGGAGGTGGAGGGACAGAACTTGACGTGTGATTTCGTACTGCTGAGTATGATCGAGTTTGATGCAATCCTCGGGATGGATTGGCTTGAGAAACATCATGCCAGGGTCGATTGCTACACGAAGATTCTTGAACTCGAAGGCGGTGAAGGGTTGACCTTACGCTTCGAGGGAGATAGAGGCAAATCAAACAGTTGTATCATATCTGCCGTGAGGGCGAGGAATATGATGAGAAAGGGATGCCACGCATACCTAGCGTATGTGGTGGACAAAACCAAGGAAGAGATAGAAATCAATGATGTGAGAGTTGTGTGCAAGTATCCGGATGTCTTCCCAAAAGACTTGCCGGGACTTCCACCCGATAGGGAGATTGAGTTCGTGATCGAGGTCGAACCCGGCACCAAACCAATCTCTATACCGCCATACAGGATGGCACCCGCTGAACTTAACGAGTTGAAAACCCAATTGCAAGAGCTATTGGATAACGGTTTCATAAGGCCGAGTCACTCTCCGTGGGGAGCACCGGTCCTTTTCGTGAAAAAGAAAGATGGAACACTTCGAATGTGCATTGACTATCGTCAACTGAACAAGGTCACAATCAAGAATAGGTATCCCTTGCCTAGAATTGATGACTTGTTTGATCAGCTCCGAGGAGCGACGGTGTTTTCGAAGATTGACTTGAGGTCGGGGTACCACCAACTGAAAATAAAGGAAGATGACATACCGAAGAGTGCGTACCGCACAAGGTATGGTCATTTCGAGTTCCTAGTTATGTCGTTCGGGCTAACCAACGCCCCGGCGGCATTCATGGACAAGATGAACCGTGTGTTCAGTGAATACTTAGATCAATTCGTGATAGTATTCATTGACGATATTTTGATATACTCCAAGAGTGAGGGGGAGCATGAAGATCATTTGAGACTTGTACTTGAACGGCTAAGGGAAAAACAACTCTTTGCCAAGTTCTCTAAATGCGAGTTTTGGCTCAAAGAGATCGGGTTCCTCGGGCATGTCGTGTCAGGTTCGGGCATTGCGGTGGATAAAGCCAAGATAGAAGCCATTATGAATTGGGAGAGACCCAAAAACGTGAAAGAAATACGTAGCTTCCTCGGCTTAGCAGGATATTATCGTAAGTTTGTTGAAAAATTTTCTGTATCGGCGTCTCCATTGACAAAGCTCACAAAGAAAGGGGCCAAGTTCATATGGGACGACAATTGTGAGAAAGGGTTTCTCGAACTAAAGAAATGGCTTACAGAAGCACCAGTCCTCGCTCTACCCACACAAGGGATAGGGTACGACATATACAGTGACGCTAGCATCCAAGGGCTTGGATGTGTTCTAATTCAAAACGGTCGGGTGATTGCCTACGCTTCAAGGCAATTGAAGAAACACGAGGCAAACTACCCTACCCATGATCTAGAGTTGGGAGCGGTAGTGTTTGCACTGAAGATTTGGCGGCATTATCTCTATGGGGAGACATGTCACATTTTCACCGATCATAAAAGCTTGAAGTATGTATTCACTCAAAAAGAGTTGAATATGAGACAAAGGATATGGATGGAGTTGATCAAGGACTATGACTTGATCATCGACTATCATCTCGGGAAGGCCAATGTAGTAGCCGATGCACTGAGCAGAAAGAGTACATCGGGGACGTTACTCGCGTGTCTACGCTCATTAAGGGCACAAGTGGAGGTGTCCACGAGTGGGGTCCTCATTGCTAGATTCGAGGTTAGGCCTACATTGCTGAGTGAGATCAGTAGATGTCAGGCCACTGATGAAGAATGTCAGAAGATCCGTGAACAGATTCTGGAGGGACCTATTGAGAACTTTCGGGTACGTGATGACGGTCTTTTATTGTTTAAAGGCCGTGTATGCATACCAAGGAATGAGGAGCTCCAAAAGTCAATACTGGAGGAGGCTCATTCTTCGGCGTATGCCATGCATCCAGGAGGTACTAAAATGTACCGAGATTTGAAGGAAAGTTACTGGTGGTCGGGTATGAAGAGGGACATCGCAGAGTACGTGAGTCGGTGCCTTACTTGCCAACAAGTCAAGGCGGAACATCAACACCCGGCGGGACTTTTGCAACCACTTACCATTCCAGAATGGAAGTGGGAGCACGTGACCATGGACTTCGTGGTGGGGATACCACGAACAGTGAACAACTATGATGCAGTATGGGTAGTGGTTGATAGGCTCACCAAGAGTGCACACTTTTTGCCTATCAACATTACTTATCCTCTTGAAAGATTGGCAAAGCTATACATGGAGGAGATTGTGAGACTACATGGAGTTCCGATATCCATTGTCTCGGATAGGAACCCACGTTTCACATCCCGATTTTGGCCAAAATTTCAAGCATCTTTGGGTACGAAGCTAAAGTTTAGCACAGCCTTTCACCCACAGACGGATGGGCAATCCGAGAGGGTGATACAGATTCTGGAAGATATGCTTAGGGCATGTGCTCTGGAGTTCCAAGGGAGTTGGGACAAGCATTTGGCTCTGGTTGAGTTCGCCTATAACAACAGTTATCAGGCGAGTATTGGCATGTCTCCATACGAGGCATTGTATGAGAGGAAATGTAGAACACCGTTGTGTTGGGACGAGGTTGGCGAAGCCAAGCTCGAGGGGATTGAACTTGTCGAAATCACCAAGGCTAAGGTGAAAGTCATTCAGGATAGACTCAAGGCTGCCCAAGATCGGCAAAAGAGTTATGCTGACAAACGACGCAGGCCATTGGAGTTTGAGGTCGGTGATAAGGTCTTTCTAAGGATTTCTCCTTGGAAAGGTATCATCAGATTTATATCGAGGGGAAAGCTTAACCCCCGATACATTGGCCCATTTGAAATCCTTGAAAGGATAGGGGCCGTGGTTTACCGTATCAAATTGACGCCAGAACTTGAGAAGATACACGACGTGTTCCATGTATCGATGTTCAAGAAATACGTGCGAGATCCGTCTCATATCCTTGAGAAACCACCGGTAGAGATACGTGAAGACCTACAATATGCGGTGGAACCGGTGAAGATTGTGGGTCAACAGGTAAAGAAACTGAGGAACAAGGAGATTCCTATGGTAAAGGTCCTTTGGAGGAGTGATCGAGTCGAAGAAGAAACCTGGGAGACTGAGGTCTCAATGAGGGAGCAGTACCCTTTCCTTTTCGACTAGACACGCGGATTTCGGGGACGAAATCCCAAATAAGGGGGGGTGAACTTGTAACACCGTCCCCAAATGTATTTATCTTTAAGCGAATAATTCATTGAACCCTATGAAATTTTTAGTGAATTTACGAGGTTGTGAATTTGTATTAATTTTTCGCGTGAATAGTAAAATGCACGTGGGGCCCACATCGGGAGTGGGGACCGCCCGATATTATCGGGACCACATATCATATTCATCTGGGTCTAGAAAATATTTATAGATGGTGGATACTTCATTTGGGCCATGGAAAGGCCCAGAGTTGACCGATCGGTCAATAGAGGCCCAAATACCGGTATCGATAAATTTATCAGATAAAAGCCCGAAAGTGGATTTTGGAGATTTATAAATTAAAGTTGGGGAATGCATATTCATTCTAAATGTTATAATGATTAATAACACGTAATATATTTATTTAAACCGATAAAATAAAATATATCTAAAACAGTCCGGAAAATACAACTTTCGGGGCAAATTGTACACTTTGGGACAAATTAGGATGACCTCCCACATGGGTGGGGGCCACCCCACGAATTTGTCAACCTTTGGGGGCTGGATGAGGGCTAAGTTGGCTGAATAACAATTGATAGGATGGGGGAGACACCCTTTGACATTTGGTAGACCCCCTCCTTTCACTCATTTGTCTAAATGAGACAAAAACCACCCCTTTCACCTCACCACCTCCACCCACTCGTACCAACACCCTAAT